GGATCATATGGTAGCTCAATTTCCAACTGTTTTAAATATCGCCAAATCAATTTCCATAATGGCTGTACATACCTACAGGTCCACCAGCAGTGGACAAGAGTTCCTATCTCTCCGCATCCCCTCCAACACCTGTTACTTTCTGATTTCTTGAATTGGGCTTTCTGTGACGGTGTTTGGTGGTGTCTCATAGTTGTTTTAATTTACATTTCTCTTATGGCTAGAGATCTGGAACATTTTCTCATATTCATTGGCCATTTGGATTTCTGCCTGTGAGAAACTCCTGCTCAGGTCCTTTGCCCACCTCCTGAGTGGACAATTGGTTTTTTTCTCATTGTAGGTTTGCAAAGTATTGTAGATTTTAGTAATAAGGCCTTTGTCTGATGTGTCATTGCTAAGATGTTTTCCCATTCTGTGGTCTCTCTTATCACTCTCTTGGCAAATTCTTTCGATGTACATAAGTGTTTTATCTTTAGTATATCCCACCGGTCAGTGTGTGCCTCTTCTGTGTTTGTGTCCTTCCCGATTTCCGATAGCCTATGTAATCCCTATGCCAAGGTTCTCAGATTTGTCCCAATTCCCTCATTTATGGCCCTAATAGTTTGGGGTTTTACCTCAAGTCTGTGATACACCTTGAGTTTATCCTTGTGTATGGAGTGAGGTAAGGGTCTTGATTCATTTTTCTGCAGCTACGTATCCATTTTTTCCAGCACTACAAATTGAAGAGGGCATCCGCTTCCCATTTGATATTTTTGGGGCCTTTATCAAAGATCTGTATGCTGATGATTTTATTTCTGGGTTTTCAATCCTTTTCCATTGGTCTGAATATCTATCATTATACCAATACCACTCTGTTTTGACCACTGTGCTAAAGTCGGGCAAAGCAAGCCCTCCAACTTTGTCTTTCTTCTTGAGGAGTTCTCTGCTAATTCTCGGTTTCTTCCCCCTCCAAATGAAGTTGGTAATCTGTTTTTCCAACTCTTTGAAGAAAGATGCTGGAATTTGGATCGGAATAGCATTGAACTTATATAGTGCCTTGGGTAGAATTGACATCTTTACAATATTGAGTCTGCCAATCCACAAGCATGGGATGTCCTTCCATTTGTTAAGGTCACCCTTGGTTTCTTTTAATAGTGTTTTGAAGTTTTCCTCATACAGATCTTTTGTTTTTTGAGTCAGGTATATCCCTAGATATTTCAATTTGTGTTTGGCTATTGTGATGGGTACCCCCTTTTTGATCCCCTCTTCTGTGTCATTGTCCAGTGTGTACAGTAGTGCGATAGACTTGTGATCTTGTAACCTGCTACTCTGCCATATTCCTCTATTGCTTCCAGTACTCCTCTCATGGAACTTTTAGGATTTTCCATATATAAAATCATATCATCTGCAAATAACGATAGTTTCACTTTTTTGTTCCCCAGACGAATACCTTTGATGTCCTTTCTTTGCCTTAAATTGTTAGCTATAACCTCCAGTACGATGTTAAATAGGAGTGGGGACAAGGGACATCCTTGTCTAGTCCCCTTTTTCAAAAGAATTGATCTAGTCTTTTCTCCATTGACTACCACATTGGCTGTTGGTTTTTCATATATAGCTTGTAGTATATTGAGGAATTTTCCTTCTATTCCTCTCTTCTTGTGTGTCTTAAACATAAATTGGGGTTGGATGTTGTTGAATGCTTTTCCTGCATCTATAATGTGGTTCTTATACTTTTTCATTTCAATGTGATGAAAAATACTAATGGTCATTCGTATGTTGGACCATCCCTGCATCCCTGGTATGAATCCCACTTGGTCATGGTGAATTATTTGTTTTATATACTTTAGTATTCTGTTGGCTAGTATTTTGTTAAGGGTTTTCGCATCGATATTCATTAGGGAAATTGGTCTGTAGTTCTCAATTCTTGTGGGATCTGTGCCTGGTTTAGGGGATGGGTTGGGGATTGGGTGATCTGTTTCTGGTTAGGGACACTTTCCACAGGTACAGGTGGGTGGGAGGGGGGCCGCCACTGGCGTGCTGATCCACCGCTTGGAGCACAAAGGGTGGGGCGGAGTGAGCAGGGAGAAGGGAAAAAGCAGTAGGCAAGCCCTGTGCCTGTGCCACAGCTGCAGACTTGTGTTCGCTGACTGGCAGGCCTGAAGTGGTGTGGTAGGATGGGGACCTCTGCATGCGAGCGCGCGGTGGGGAGGGGGAGGGAGCTGGCTTGCGGATCTGTGAGGAGCACAGAGAAGGGGCGGGCACCTCTGAGTGTGCTGTCAGGTCTGGTGGGCGGTTTTCATGGAGCACACAGGCAGGGTCACAGCCTCTGCCATCTGCCTGGTTGCGCTGCTGCACTGGGGTGCGCGCCTCACGGGAGGAGTGGGGTAGAGTCTGGCCGGCTGGTCTGCGAGGGGCGCCCAGATGGGACATGAATCTCTTGGTGGGGGGGGGGGTTGGTGTGCTGGCTGGAGCACCCACACAGACTCCCGTGCACCCTGAGGCAGGGTGGGAGGTACTGGCTGGGGATTCTACGCGGGCTACTGAGGAACGGCGCAGCCTCTGCCGTGCACCTGACTGCCCTGTGGCGCAGGTCAAGGCAGAGTGGGCACCCTGAGCGCTGTACAAGAGACCCTGGACATCTACAGGGAGAACTGGCAGTGGGGTGGAAATCAGCTTCTGGTTCAGAGAAGTGCTCTGAGTGGTCTTGGGAATCGACAGACAGATTTGTTACCCCTAGTAGGCCCCCAAATTTCCCCACTCACCCATCTCCTCTGAACTCCGGGCCTGAGCTGCCTATCTGGCAGCCATCTTCCCCCGACTCCCCTACATCAATTTTTTTAATGCCATGTGATCTACCCACACTACATTTGTGATCGAGTAGTAGATCGCGATTGAAGTATTGAGCACCCCTGCTCTAAATAGAATGCTTGATTAACAGCCTGACCTGGTAGAATGAGCTCCAATTGCACTATCCCACTCACATAAAAAACAAAAAACAAATGAGCATCTTTTTTGGGGGGTACCCCATTGTATTTTTATTTATCCTTGTAAATATATCCATGAGTGTTTTAGAGCATACAGGGTAACATTATGAAGCTTTATTACATATGGTCAAACACCTTGAAGGATTGAGTCACTGGGCCCAGGGGACCAGAATCAGGGAACACAGGGTCAGTTGGCATGACATAATTCACGGAAGGAATGTTAAACACCCTATTGGTAAATAGCCACTGGGGTTCGGATCTCTCCTTGTCTAGAGGAAAGAAGAGTAGCAAAAAGTGAAAGATATATGGAAATAATTAGTTTGGCAATCTAATGAGCCATACAAACCTCTCTGAGAAGGATCACAATAGAAGGGTCTGGTTACAGTAGAAGAAAAATGTGAAACAGAATTCAGAATCATAAGAGATGAAACTTACTGGTTGGACTTTGGTCCTTTTCAGATCTGGAACTGAACTCACCCCATGTTAGAGTAAGGAACCATTTAAAGTAAAAAAAGCAGCATTTGCCCAAGGACAAAGCTCAGAGGGTTAGCAAACAAGGACGAATGAGAACAAGAAACGCAGGGAGTGTGTGGTGAATGCAGGGACATTGAGGGGACTGCAGTGCAGGAGTTCAACTGTGACTTGTTGGATGTGAAACCAATGCTTTCAAGTCACAATAAAAAGTGAAATAAAACCAAAACTAGTAAACTTACAAAACCTTCCGTAGTTGATGGTAGTGAGTTGAATCTTGTAAGCACTAACATTTGGATTTCTAACTAATAAGTAAAATTTCCATTCATTACCCTTTACCCTTAGGCCTTTTTACAGGGTATTAGCTTTTTTACGAGTGTTAAAGAAGATGCTAATTGTTATTTATTTTTAACCATTTCCACTTTATCATCAAATATTTTATACCTTGCAGCTAGTTCTGTGAAACTTTTTAACTTGTATATAGATCTTTAAGTCTTAAATATATAAAACAAACTTTATGTGAAATGTATATTTGGTTTTATATGAACTGTCATTTTTAATATTATGTAGTATTTATAACATTCCATGCTACCTATAAAATGAGAAAGAATACTCTTTGTATGGATGTTTTTTTTTAATTGTAAAAGTTAAAATCACATTAATTAATAGAATTTTCATTTGTTTTATATTCTTATGACCTTGGTTTGTGTAGAAGACGCAGGAGAATATAGGTAGCACATTCTATTTAGTTTTGGAGAGATTATAAAAGGAGCACTCCAAATTAGTAGCTTCTAATAGCCACAGAAAAAAATATTGCAAAGAAGCAGCAGATGCTATTAAGTTTATTATACTTTTTTTTAAATCTTATTTTCTTTCTACCCCAAAATTGGAATGGTAGTGTTGCAGGTGAACTTATATATCTATCTTTTAAGTAAGGTTGTAAAAAATAGTATTTTGTAAAAAATTTTCAACTCATTTATTGAAAAAAACAGACAAGGGTTTTAAAGAATGATGTTTATTCAAGTCACTTAGCTATTACATTTATGGCATAACTTTTTTTCCCTAGTAGTTTCCAAAGACACTCAGAATAGAAATGCAACTCAATGAATAGGCAGTGTGCATATGAATAAGTCTATATACGTATTATTATTATTTTTTTAGGTTTAAATTAATTGCTACCAATAGCTGAGTTTTCAGTCTCTTACCTTTGTGACCTGTAGATAAGTATTGGCCTCAGAATTCTGGATAGAGATGTTATTTTATAGCTATCATTTTTGAAAAGTTTTTTTAGAAATGCCGAGAATCAGCCAGGTTAGAATGGAGAATGTAAGTTTTAGCAAACAGTACAAATCTAAAAACCATGACAAAAGTGTAGGTATGTATTATATGTTGGTTTGAAGAAGTCAAGGTGACTAGGTGATCCTTTTAAACATCTTCTTCAATGTAATTTACCACTTTTCTGAAATAGAATTAGGCTTAGCTAAAATATCATATCAAATATTTTATGTCTTAAAGTTTTATGAAATTATTTAATCATCTTTATTAACTACCCTTCTCTAATGTTCCCAGGTTATTGAATCTTTGGGAATTGTTATTTATAAAGCACTGGATTATGGTTTGAAAGAGAATGAAGAAAGAGAACTAAGCCCTCCCCTAGAGAAGCTCATTGATCTCATGGCCAATACCATGGAAGCTGATAGTAGTAACGATGAGGGTTATGAGGCTGCAGATGAAGGGATAGAAGATGAAGACGATGAAAAGAGAAAAATCTCAGCAATTCGTTCTTATAGAGATGTCATGAAGGTAAGTAGCAGTTTACATATTTGTTTCTTTCGAGAGATGATATTCCAGTTAAAAAAAAAAGCAAAACACTGAATAAAAAATACAAAATAATAACACTGACTAGTGAATGAACATTTGATAATACACTTTAAATTTCTCAAACTGACTGCTCAAAGTGAAATAAATTGGAAACTCTGATTTCTTCAGTCTGATTTGTTGTTCACAGTGGTTTTTTGTTGTTGTCTTTTTAATGGAATCACTTAGTTCCTCTCCTACACACAGATTCATGCACACTATCAAAATACTTTCAGGTTTTAGGACTACTTGTTATAAATTAAAGTTCCCCAGAAATGCGGTTTGTAAATCCCACTAAACCTGATGTTATAATCCCAAATTAATCTTAATGGCAGTATTGGTGTAAGATGTGCGGCAAGTCAACTTCTTTTGAGGTACTAAAGAGAAGATTCAACAAGCAGTAGAAGAGTAAAGTCGGGGAAGATAGTGCAATGTTCCATGAGATCTCCAAGTAACCACGGAATGAGCTGGAAATAGACAATAACCTTTCCGCAGAGCCAACAGAAAAGAAATCCTAACCAACACAGAAAGAAAGATTTACCTTAGAGGCAGAACCTAAATTTTGACTTCTATCCTCCAAAAAAATGAGAAAACCAATTTTTGTTTATTAGCTCCTCTCACTTAGGTTGTTTCTGCTGTACCAACACAAGATAACTAAAAAATCCTTTCGTGTATATGCCATGCCTTCCATTGTCTTGGCATTTTCCTTTTTGTCAGTAAATAGCTGTGTTTCAGTTATTTAAATAATAAAGAATTGAGTAACGATTGTTTGACTTTATTTTCTTTCTTTTAAAAAAAAATAGTTTTATTAGGGGCTCGTACAACTCTTAATCACAATCCATACATCCATCCATTGTGTCAAGCACATTTGTACATTTGTTGCCATCATCATTTTCTTTTTTTATCCAGAACAGATATTTATTGAACTATTTGATGCAAGGCACTGCACTAGACCTGGAAAGGGAGTAGTGGGGCTGCCCTGTAGTAAGAGCTCACAATCTAAGGGACGGGACCATCATCATTTTCAAAACATTTTCTTTCTACTTTAGCCCTTGGTGTCAGCTTCTCATGTTTCCCCTCCCTTCCCTCCTTCACTAATGAACCCTTAATTTCTAAATTATTATTATTTTTTCTTATCTTACACTGACTGATGTTTCACTTCACCCACTTTTTTATTGTTCGTCCCCCTGGGAGGAGGTTATATGTAGATCATTATGATCGGTTCCCCCTTTCTCCCCCTACCTTCCAGTGACCCTTCTGGTATTGCTACTCTCAATATGGGTCCTGAGGGGTTTATCTGTCCTGGATTCCCTGTGTTTCCAGCTCTTATCTGAACCCATGTACATGCTCTGGTCTAGCCGGATTTATAAGGTTAGAATTGGAGTCACAATAGTTGGGCGGGGTGGGGGAAGCATTAGAGAACTAGAGGAAAGTTGTATGTTTCAACAGTGCTATACTACACCCTGACTGCCTTGTCTCCTCCCCGTGACCCTTCTGTAAAGGGATGTCCACTTGTCGACAAATGGGCTTTGGGTCTCCACTCTGCACAACCCTTCATTCACAATTATATGGTTTTTTGTTCTGGGTCTTTGATGCTTGATACCTGATCCCATCAACACCTCATGATCACAGAGGCTGCTGTGCTTCTTTCATGTGGGCTTTGTTGCTTCTCAGCTAGATGGCCGCTTGTTTATCTTCTAGCCTTTAAGACCCAGATGCTATATCTTTTGATAGCCGGCCACTATCCGCTTTCTTCACCACAGTTGCTTATGCACTTATTTTCCCTTCAGCAATTGTATCAGGAAGGTGAACATTTTGGAATGCCAGGTTATTAGAACAAAGTGTTCTTGCGTTGAGGGAGTACTTGAGTAGAATCCCAGTGCCCCATCTGCTACCTTGATACTTAACCTATAAATATATGTACATAGTTCTAATTACCTATCATCATATAAAACTATATTTACATATGTACATGCCTGCATTTAGACCTCTACAAATGCCCTTTGCCTCCTCGTCCTTTTCCTTTATTTCCTTTTACTTTCCTCTTGACCCACTATCATGTTCAGCCTTCATTTGGGTTTCAGTAATTCCTCTGTTATATTGTCCTTGATCAAGCCCTACCAGGCGTCTAAACCCTCCTTGCCATCGATTTTTAGATCCCTTGTTGTTCCCTTGTCCCTGGGTTTGTTAACACCCACTTCCTTCCCCTGCTTCCCCCTCTCCTATGTCCCCCTCAGGACTGTTGGTCCCATTGTTTTCTCCTCTGGATTGTTTATCCTGCCTATCTCATCTAGGTAGACATGCAGCTACAATAATAAGCACAAAAACAAGACAGAGCAAAACAAAGCAACAAAAGAAAACAAAACTGCAACAACAACAGCAATAAAACCAACGACAAAAAAGAAAAGCCTATAAGTAGTTTCAGGTTGGTGTTGACCTTTAGGAGTGTTTTCCATCTGCGAATATTCTCGCTGTCCTGGTTTTGTGGTAGCCAGGGCAGGCTAACCATTCGCTGTATTAAGACCATGCATGTGTCCCCAGGCTGAGTTCTCTCCCTGAGCCTGGTTTTATCAATGCTGGTGATAAGTCTGCATTTCTGTATATGACTGGTACTCTAGGGATCTTTGTTCAAGTTCAAGATGACTGTCTAGTGAAATAGGAAGTAACAAATGCGAATTTGCAGAAGTATGTCTAAAGTAGGGTGATTCTGCAATAATTTGTTGCCATTCATTAATGTCAAATTAAAAGAAAGAAAGAAAAAATAAAAAGAAAAAAGAAAAAAATTTTAAAAAAGGAGTGTTTTCCAGTGGAGTGATGGGGTGCCACATCCTGGTCCCACAGTCTATTTTTGGTATTCCCTGGGGACTTCATTGATATGCTCCCTTTGCTGTTCTGTTGTGCACCCTTAGTGTTTTGCTCCCATGTGGTGAGGTCAGATTGGGCACAATTTCCGCACTGTGTCTCCAGTGTTGTCTCCTGTAGGCTATGGGTCAGTAAGGGAGTCATGTCTCATGGTGGGGTCAGCCCTATGGTCCTTTCTGTGCATTGGCTGCTGTGAACAGGAATATCGTCCTCAGGGCTTGGTGGGCCAGGATATTCTCCACTCTCTCTCCCTCCACCTTTGTTTGCTTCTGTGTGCTCTGATCAGATGTATCCCTCTCCTTGAGCTGTACCTTCAGTGCTGTCCTCTGAAGTGAATTCTGGGTGGAGCGGGGGCTGTCCACGTAGTTGAGATTGATGCCAGCCCCTCAGACCTCTCTATTAGTTCCCTGCTTTCTGCCGGTATGTGGCATTCACATCTTGGTACACTGGTGTGTTTGGCTTTATTTTCTTAATCTGCCTAGTGGTATGTGTAAATAGTGAAACAAATTCAGTAACTTGAATCCAATTTTCTCTTTAGTTTAGTTTTCCTGTGTACTTGAGTACCATAATGCCTATAATAATAAGAGATTAAGATTAAGACAGATTTGTGAAATTAACTTTTAAGGACCATGTTCTATTTAGAGTTACTTTGTAGATGTTTTCTTACTATGTTTTTAAGTAGTACTGGCTATATATAACTTATTATTCTAGCTTTTCATAAAGCATTCAGAGTTAGAAAGGGGGAGACATGGTAACGGTACTTTGAGGGTATTCTGTAACATACCCTAGGGTGTGTGTATATATATATATATATATATACATATATATATATATATACACACACACACACACACACACCCTAGGGTATATAGGGTATATATATAGGGTATATAGGGTGTGTGTGTGTGTGTATATATATATATATATATATAGCTTACTGAGGTATAATTAATAACTTTGGAACATTTTCTCCTTCTTATTTGTTACCTATTGGTATTTACTTCCCATTTCCCCCATCGTCCATTTTCATGTCCCAAGTAATTATTATTTCAGTTACTGTCTTCATAAATTTGCCTTCCCTATGCTGAAAAACATATGAAATAAGGACAGAGAAGAGAGGGGAGGAGGGGCAGGAACAACAAAACAAAACAAAGACCTAACAACAATAATCATATAAACAAGGAAAGAACTCAATGTAAGGAAAAGCAAGCTATATTAAAATTTTAGGATCTATTGGAAGTGAGCCAAAGGGAGCTCCAATGGGAAAATGTTACAGCCCAGTCTAAGTACAATTACTAAGAACCTTTGTCTGCTATTTCCTCTGCGTGAAATCCGGGCTGTTCCCATTCTTAGTCTGTGGACAGTGGGGATTCACCAGGGACTCAATTCATGTAGGGACCGTTAATGGACTTTGGGCTTTCACTATCATCCATAGTGTTTTGCAAACTAGGTGTTTAGTATTTAGGCTCTGGTACCATTCTCTCCTTTGGGTTTTCATCTTACTGTTTGCAATCCTTGGATCACACATGCTTGTGTGCTTCTTCTGCGTAGATTTAGCTGACACAATTAGATGGCTGCTTGTTTTGTGACAAGCCTTTAAGACCATGACCTTGTTTTTCCAGATAGCACCATCGGATTTCTTCATCACATTTGCTACCGCTCCCCTCTCTTCAGTGATTCCATGAGGGCAAGTAGCGGGCAGGGCCATGTCACAAGAACTGTTTGTTTTTGTATTAGGGCTGCACTCAGGTGAGCTCAAAATCAACTCACGTAACTATGATTTTTGTATGTCCCTGTTTCATTTTGTTGTAGTGCATAAGAGATCATCCCCAGGGGACTTAGGTAATTCTATTGATAGTAACATTATTATAGTCATTATTGTAAAACACTGTTTTATAAAGGCTTTTAGACATGTGCAGGGCATCTTACTAGTTTCTAATACATGAATTGTTTTACATTTTTATGATGGGTATTTGGAAAATTTATCTACATTCTATAGTTTTTTTAAATGTACTTACCATTGGAAGTCAGTAGCTTTATAAATAAAATATACCAGCATTTGAAGTTTCTTTTTTTTTTAAATC